TGCAAGCCAATCAACCTACTGTTGTTGTACTAACTGTTATTTGCATCTCACTAAGTTAACGGTTACATTACAAGACTAGTTGGGTATCACATATGCACCGTTTTCCTGAAACCTCGAGAAATTTTCGCGTACCATTTCACACAACATCTACAACCAATCAGGCGTGACTTCTTTGGCGATGTTATCGAACACGCATTTGTAGCCCCCCCCCCTCTTCTCGTCAAACTTACCTTCGTCTTAAAGGTAAATTTGATCTTCCAGAGCGGATAATTTTTCCGATGACTTTTCCTGTTCCCTGGCACTCACCGCAAGTGCCGGTAGTCATTAAAACACCTCCAGGAATAATAACACTAATAAGGACACATGTAACCTTTGCCGTACCTCGTCACATTGCAGTTTTCACTTCGCGGATTTCTTCCTAAGATAAGTTTTGCGGATTTTCTATATTTCGATTACTTTCTGATATATATTTAAAAGTATGCAGTATGGTGTTGAAGAACATAGGAAGTGTTTTTCAGTCTTGAAAAAATTAATAAGGTTTATAAGAGATTGTAAAGGGCTTATTAAACTTTGAAATATACCTAAGACTGTGCAGCGATACTACGCTCTAAAATATATGCATACTAGTCCGCGGAATGTTGAATTATGCGGAGTCTCAGAACTAACCTCCGTGACATTCGAGAGATTCTTATACACTACTTTATGAGTAACAGGTTGCCGCTTCATATAGACGTGCAGGAGTATATGAAAAGTGTCAGACATAATATATGGCATGCATATTGATTTGAACATTTATACGACTTCACAACACAGGTGTCCGCTTACTTGCTGAAAGTTAAAATGATACCTTGCTCTAGGTAAAAAAATTCAAGTGGGCGCGATTTCCTGTTACTTTGGTGAAAACAAAACGAGATTAGTAGGCCTTCGTGCTAGACATTGAAGACTAGTCAAACAAACACACACAGTAGCAGTAGCGCTTTTCAAGGGTGATTCACACAATTCGATGAGTAGACCCTAGATCAAAAGTTCGCGTGACAACCTCTATGAACTAGCCTGGAACTAGAATGTGCAAGCTAGAGCACATTGTAATTGTGACGATACTCGTTAAACATTGATTGGAATGTTACACTCCGTATTCGACTAGAAGTGGTTACAGTCTGTACAGTAAATTTTTTATGGCATGAAATTTCAACCGATATTCTGAAATTTGCTTCGTGCAGTAGTACAATCTTGTGATATTCCAGTCAAGTCAGGATGCCGGCTTTCCAACGAGCTTCTTTCTGGCCGCATTGAAAAACTGCACTCTGCAAAAACGACTACTCAAACAGTCCGATTTATTTTCGGTGCACACCAAAATTTAAATGTTTTTTTTTGTAGAAGACAGGCACAAAATTATTCTCTTTGCATTCATCTGGTAGGAAAGAACACCTTTAAATGTTATACTTGAAGAAAGGCTTTCGTTCGGTCATAACGTTTCTAATTATGAGATTATTAAGAACGTGAAATGTCTGTTTTTCAATATCGCTGACAAAGCATATAACGTGGTCCAGATCTACTGAAAAATGTTATGAGCACCACGTGACTTGTGCCTACTACCGTGGAGAAATGGAAGATTTTTTATTAAGTAGGGTGTATGCAGCATGTAGTTTGTAAACCATGAGTGCAAGAGTAAAGACAAGTCAGGCCGAAAACTACTCAGCAGTTGAAAAGGTGCTTTAAAAGCCAAAGATGCCCTACTTTCAAGCACGAAATTTGACAACTTTTCTACAAAATGAGTAGAGGGAAAAATATTTTCGAGCATGATTTCTGTAAAATGAATGCGAAAAAATCATACTACTTATGCGGTCAATCCCTACACCATGTTCTTTTTACACATGGTCGAATATAAGTTCGTTCAAAAGCCGGTATCCCGATTTGACTGAAATATTTCGGGATTAAGCTACAATGAAACTAATATTACAAAGCTAGTTAAGTATTTTTTTAAGGAAAATTCTGTTTGCACTTCATGAGACAGCAAATCTACTGTAACATGTTCCAAACGCCATGATTCTGACTTTTCTGTGCGCTTTCCAGCCCGCCTGCGGAAATCACAGCTGAGTAAATTGCTACTTAAACAGAGTGCTTCCTTTACGCTCTTATAAATTTGAGCATGTTATAGGATGCCTGTAAGAGTACATGCGCATCTTCCTCCACTCCTCTCATAGCGAAGCAGTCTGCTGTAAATTATACATCTCAATGAAATGGGAATCAAGTGACAAGACCACGGAAACGCAGGCTGTCCGGTATCTACTACCATGTCGAGTTAAGCTTAGCTAAGACGAAAGCATGGCTAACGAACGCCCTCCCAAACCACTGTTCGACGACGATTTCATTATACGTGCCTGCAAACAAGGTGAACAGATATGGCAATTAATGACATCATGATGAAATCTCTCAAACATCTGTAAATTAAAAAAAA